TCACTGGCTGACCAAGGCCAATGCAGACAGAGTGACGCATCTGCATCGGAGCCGGAGTTAAATCACGAAATAATTTTGCAGCCTGGTTGACTTTTTGATTCTGAAGTATCCAAAATTTTCTTTAGTCTCAAATCCAATGTCATCCATTATATCCAGTTTTTTTAAAGTTCAATGTTATTAGTTTTTTTTGCCTTTTTTGTACTCCTTATCTTTTAGTGATATAAAAATTTGGATTCTTGCAATAGTAATTAAAAATTCAACCGAACTTTTTTTCAATCAGAAGTTGTCACGGATAGAAAGCGATGACTTCTCTCACCCTCGGAATGATGCTAAAAACTGGTTTAACAACATCATTTAAATCTTTTGATTGGTTGATTTGTTATAAACTTAAATTTTCTGGCTCCTACTGCTATTATACCCGAGAGGGAACGAAAGCGTGGGATGGTGAAATTCAGGTGTTTGAATCCCACCGCCCACTACATGTTTTTTTAAACTGAAAATTATGCATTTCTAAAGATGTGTCCGCCTATCGTTTGTCAGATTATGTTTTAGGTTTCGGCTTACATTATGTCAGCTTAGTGGCCTCATATTGTTTCATTTAACCATAAATAAAGTTAAGAGTGTTTGTGTTTTGAGGGTGAGGGGGACTTAATTACACCAGCAAAGCTTGTGTTATATTACGAACTCTCTTTTTCTTCCAACCTCAGTCGCAAACGTTAGTGCTCTTTTTGAACGTGCTCTTTTATTGCACAGCCAATGCTAAGGATATTAACGCAGACTATTATATTACAAATAGCACTTTAGCTTTAAGGCATCATGGCTCTGTAGCGTAGAGGTAGGGAAGGAGACCAGCAGCAAAATAAGAGGGCTCGAACCTTGGCAGGGTCAGATGTTTTTATTGAAATTTTTCGTATACTAGTTGAAATGCGTCCGCTTTATAAATTGAGGCATGTTAGTTGGTAAGTTTCTTTTTTTTTCAAATTGACTGCTAATGCGTCATAACTGGCGTGCGTCACTTAGAAAATTTTGTATACTCAAAGTTTTACCCATTCAGTTTTTCCCATTAGCGTTATTGGTCATATTTTTGCTTGTGTATGCGAAGTGCAACTTCGTCTCTGTGTAATTTTTTAAAAGTCATGTTTTCTTGGTTTGTTTCGGCTTCGGTATTTTTGGCTTTGTTATCGCATGGTCGATTTTCTTCCGATGCTAATTTCACATTCTATTTTCTTGGCAGGTTTTTAAAAATAACAAATAGCCCCATTCATTATGATAAATTTATTTTTTTTTCAACATTTTTGGTTTCTTTTCCGACTTAGCGGCTTGCTTGTTTTGTATCGCATGAGTCCTAACAAGTTCGAGATTCCTTGGTACTTGGCATGCTGGTAACGCTTTGCCTTTGCATTATAAGTTCTAGGGTTGAATCCTGGTCGGACCTTGTTTTTTCAGAATGTTTAAAAATGAAAAAAAAAAAACATTTCCAGTAAAACTTGATTTGTTGGACTTTGTTTATCTGCCCAAGGTTTGTAGCTTTAGTTACCACATCACTAATTTTTCTTTTGCTGCGAACGAGCTTCATGGTATCATGTTTATTTTTGTTCCAGATGAGAATTGATACTTTTTTAAGCTTTAAATAAAATGACTTTTTTTTCGGCTCAAATGGTGTCTGCTCAAAGATTGTCGGCTTTGTTTCCCCTTTGTAAGTGTTGTTACGTTGCTAAGTTAACTTTCAATTGTCTGGCTTGTCATGTTTTCGTAGAAAACAGGTATTATGAAATTGTATGGGATCGGGTTTATTATTTTATCTTTTTCGAGACGCTTTGGAAAATCTTTCATTTCACGTAAAAACTCAAAAACTCTCCTATGGTATCAAGATGAAAACAGCATGTCTACCTGCGTGTCTGAATACTCTCTTTTTTACTTAAGCCATCTGTCTACAGCCCTCTGTCTACAGAAAAAGTCTGTGGGGGAGTATTTAACCCATATTTTGGATTTTTTGTTCAAAAACTGCCCTTATATCTTAGGTCTGTTCAATAGCTATACTGAGCGTTGAAAAACTACCCTGCATCAGGGTCTACGCCAATTTTGTTCTGTACTTTTAAACATATGGCACTCGTAAAAGGCAAAATTTTGATTGTTTTTTGAATTTTTTTGACTTTTCTCAGAAACTAACCTCCCAAATCTGAGAGTGTGGTTTCAAGAGAGATGTCCGGTAGTCATTAGCTCCCATGAGCTAGCGGCTACTCACAATTCTTGAACTCGAAAATTTATGGCGCTCAGAAAAGTCGAAGTTTTGATTTTTTTGACAGTTTTTTTTTTAACTTTGAGTTTTCTCGAAAAAACTAACCCATATCTGAGCTGTTGGGTTCGATGCAAAGAAAAGTTGTGTGCAGCTGCTTTTCATACGCGATTAATCCAAAATTTTGATTTCTGAAGTTTGATCTAACTGTCAAAATTTAGATTTTTTTAACATAAGCGACTACGCCTTAATTTTTTTTACACAAAAATCTATGATTCTCAAAAATGTCAGATATTTGATTTAAGGACCGATTTCTTTCGATAACTGTCCTGAAAAATCTAATATCATAGGTTTAATCGAAACAAGAGGATATTGAAAGTATACCTTCATAATTGACTACGCTCAAGTTATTTGCGAAAACAGTTATTTGACCGTCTTTTGGAAACTTTTTGACTTCACTCGAAAACTACCGCGCTAATTCTAGATAATTATCATGCCTAATCTGATATCATAGGTTTAATCGACACAGCAGGTTGTTGAAAACTTACGTTTATAATTTGCTACGCCCAGTTTTTTAAGAAAAGTTTCAGCTTTCAAACAAGCGAAAGTTTTGGAAGTTTTTTTACTATGCTCAAAAATTACTGGGCCAGTTCTCAGGTTAAGTTTTCAATCGAGAAACCTGGTTTTGGGAATTTTTAGTTTAGAGACCACGACCTGCTTTTGCAGTAAAATGTTTTGGATTTCGGTGAATCAATTTTTTGAACCTAGAACCGTCTGAGAAATTTTTTGAGTTTTCCTAAAAACTACCCTAGCAAAACTGAGTTGACAAGTTAATCGAAAGAAGCGGTTGCGAGAGTTCTTGCTGCTTTTTTCACTTATTTGAGTAGAGAAACATTTAAGGTTATGGGAGAAGTCCATTTTCTCAAATAACGCATATCATCCCGCATTAATATAACAAATTCAAATAATATCAAATGCTTACCTCCAGACTTAGCTTGACCTTAGTTGTTTTTTGTCGAGACTATGAAGAGTTTAGTTCTCCTAGTTTTTTTTCAACGTTTTTCTTTTTTTCCGATTTATATGATTTTTATGTTGGTGTTGTAACTCGAGTGTGCAAAGTTCCGCTTCGCCTCTATGTGAGATTATATCATAGCCGAATCCCAAATTTCGTTGGCAAGAATTACTTAGATATATTTGGAAAACGAATAGCTAAGAATATTAACTGGTATGTTTTTGGTCTATTTTACGGTTTTATTGAACTCGTTCAAGCAAAACCAACCCGTTCATTTTAATAACGAGACCAAGTGTCCTCCTTGGTTTTTAAAAGTCGAAGAACGTAGTTCAGACTCTTATATAGATCGCAATTTTTTTTCGTTTTTTTTTTCAGGAACTCCCGCTCAAGTAAATATTTTCGTGGTTTAACTTAAGATTATTTTAAGTTCACTCATTTCCTTTGTTAAAAGGAAGGCAAACTCCACTTTCGAGCAGCGAAAGTGTAAAGGTCACAAAAATATGATCGACGGGTAATTTCGAAGTTGAATTATAATTTCTCAGCGAAATGAAATTTTTACTTTTGATCAGGTTATCTCAAATTGGGTTTATTTTATCAAAAGTGTCAATCAAAAATTGTTCTAGAAATTCTAATTGCTTCAAGTTCATCTATATTTCTATCAGAAAATGAAAATTGAGATTTTTTCAAAAAACAATTCAGTGTTTTTTCTGTTAACGCGTTGATTGACTCTTTTTTCCAACTGTTTGTTGGTTATGTTTAAATATTTTAAAACTTAACTTAAAAAAGCAAGTAACCAAGTTTCTTGACAAAGACCTTCCCTCCAATGTTTTCTCTATCCCTCCTTCCAAAGGTGACCCCCTCAGAAAAATCCCTCCCCACAATTACCCGCAGCAAGTTTTCCCAACTCAGTTCCGACGAGAGCCGTCTTTTAAACAGTTACGTTGAAGACTAGACAGCTCCATTTTTCTCACTTTGCACAACCTGCTCACTTGCAACTCCTTAATTTGTAAATTTTTCAATTTTTCCCTAAACCCTTCCCTACTTACCCCCGCAGATCTGTGGCTTCGGCCGGTGGATCCCGCTATTTTTCTGGACCTGAAGACATACAAGTTCAACCCGACCCGGGCAAACACTAGAACAGTTAATTTCGAAGTTTTAAGACAATTCAGAGCCATCTAGCGTGAAATCGGTTCCTCGTTAAATCAAATATACCCTATAAAATAATATCATGATTCTCTTAGATCTGCGATATGTTCTGCAAATATAATTGGTTTTAAAGTGGTTATGGCGTAGAGGTAACGTATGGCTAGTTGGGGAGCAAAACAAAGATTGTTGAACCTGGAAAGGAACACGTTTTCTTGTTTGTTATGTTAAAAATATCTCTGATAAGGCGAAACATTAGCGCTGTCCATTCAGTACTTGAGCAGTTCTGAGATTTTTGCCTCTGAGGTTTTCTCTGATCAGAGCAAAATTGGCGCTGCTCAGAATCTGGTTGAGCTAGATTTTCACTGAAACATTGCAGAGCAGCAGTGAAAGCTGCGAGACCATTCCGTTCAACTTCCTCAGTAAATAATTATGAATTGAGTTCGAAAAGTCTCAGCTATTTTTGAGCCGCGTGACTCTACTCATTCAGATTTAAATCTTCGGTCTAAATCGTCTTAAAATTAAATTTCCTGATAAATTTTCTCAAACCTGCTAATTAGAAGCGTTTGTCGATAAATAACTGAAAACAATTGTCTCAATTTTCAGATAGGTGAAACAATGATTGTTATGATACATTTCGATTAACTGTCTGAATTTAAACGTGGCCTATACCACGGTGAAAACATGGATCACACTGGAACACATCGAGGAAAAGCTTTACTTATAACAACAGATTATCCGTGAAACTGAAACTTTGAAATTGAGCGTTGCTGAAAAAAAGAATCCTGAATTACAATAATAAGTTGACGAGAAAGTAAAAAAACTCAAATATGTCATCAGTTGGAGTGCTGATGGTCGCTGAGAAGCCATCACTAGCCGAAAGCATTGCTCAGATTCTATCAGGAAAGAGTTCTCACAGTCGAAAAGCAATAACAAAAGCTACGCAAGTTCACGAGTGGGGTTCGAACTCGTTTCCTGCGCTTGGAAGTCGCGTGGCGGGAAGACACAACTTCCGCTACAAGATGACTTCAGTCTGTGGTCACGTGAACAGCATTGATTTCCCGCCAAAATTCAACAACTGGGATAAAGTGGCGCCTGAGAGTCTGTTTGAGGCCCCTTGTGTAAAAAAAGAAGCTAACCCGAAGTTAAACATGGTCCATCATTTGGCAAATGAGGTCAGCAGTTTAATGGAAGCGTTGAATCAGGTTTTAAGAGGCACGTCACTTGTATTGTAAAGGCTACCCGGACTGTACAGCTTCTGGCTTTTTTTATAAGTTCCTGGTCCTGCGCAATGCAGGACCAACCGTGGGGGAGGTTGATGTCATCCATTTCGCCGCCGCCGATCCCATCCGGTGGGACCCCTCCAACCGGCTTCTGGCTTGTCAGAAACGAGGGATCTTCTCAAATATTTGGGAAATATTTGAGAAAATTGAATAAGAAAATATCCTGCTTCAATGTCGTCAAAACAAGTCTTGATCTTTAGCGAACAATGCAAGACATACCTAGTTTTTTTGGAAATTTTCTCTAGACCACATTTTTTGGACTAGATTTCGAAGAGTTTGATTAATAATGTAACTTACATGGTGAGTTTATTATCTCGTAACTGTAGAAAATGTGTAATTACTTGAAATTTGAGTGATGGCTTTTAGGCGCGTGGCTGTTCTCTGCTGGTGTTGTGGCTGGACTGTGACAAGGAGGGAGAGAATATCTGCTACGAGGTGATAGAGGCGGTGGAGAAGAGCATGAATCTGCATGACAAGAGGAGCAGTCCCTTCCCCCAACTCATCTTCAGGGCCAAGTTCTCTGCCATCACTGCACAGGAAATTAACCAGGTTGATGGAGTGAACTTATTTTTTTCTCTTAAGAATTGACTTTTTTTATCTTGAGGAGCAATCTGCTCAATGATTTTTTAATTTTGATTTTACACAAAAATAATATTCATCTGAAAGTGTAGATGCTTCGATATATTTACATATAAAGATTAGATTGTATGTTTTAAAATATAGCAAGTGTAATTTATTTTAAGGCCTTCGCCACCCTGGGTGAACCGAACTATCTGGAGTCGTTGAGTGTGGACGCGAGACAAGAACTGGACTTGAGAGTGGGATGTGCCTTCACTAGATTCCAGACCAAGTTCTTCCAGGGCAAGTACGGGGACCTGGACTCGAACTTGATCTCCTTCGGACCCTGTCAGACCCCCACTTTGGGATTCTGTGTGCAGAGACATGATCAGGTATACTAAATCAAGTCAGCGTTTTTTTTCTTGTTTTCGTATCTAAGGCTTTACTGCTAATCAAAATAGGTTATGAATAAGCAAGGTTATGAAAAAAATAAGAAAAAGCAAGGCTATGAAAAGTAAGTTAAGAAAAAACCAGATAGAACTTCTCGCTCATGAGGCCAGTTATCCAGAAACTCTTCACTGTTATGATAGATGCTTAGGTATGTTTATCGTGCTGTTCCAGATCCAGTCTTTCAAGCCGGAGGCATTCTGGACCCTGGACGTGACGTGTGACAATCGGAGGGTGAAGTGGAGTCGGGTGCGCAGCTTCGACCGCGAAGTCATCCTCTCCTTCTTCAACGAAATCAAAAACGAAAAAGAAGCTTACGTTGTAAGTGAGGAAATCTCGGACAACTCATAGGAGCATCAAACCGAAAATTAATCTTATTTTCAGCTTCTGAGTCACTTTTCAGCCTGTTAGAAGATCCTTGCTATTTTCAAGCATTTTTTCTACATCTGATGCTCAAAATTGTAGGCCACGTAAATTTAAAGGGAAATGTTTGCGGCTCTTAAATAAAGAAAATACAGTTGTCAATCGTAACCCAGGATTGTGTAAAATGATGTAGTTTGTGATTAGTTAAGCGTGGACACGAAAGAAGGCTCTAAGAAGAAACCGCTGCCTCTGAACACGACTGAGATGCTGAGGTCTGCCTCCTCTGGACTGGGCATGAGTCCCCACCAGACAATGGCAGTGGCGGAGAGACTGTACACTCAGGGCTTCATCAGCTACCCGAGGACGGAGACCACATCATACCCTGCCTCTTTCGATCTTAAAGGTTAGTTTTGATATGTATTGCTGTGCTATGAATAATATTGCTATGCGAAGAATTGTCGCTTTTTTGAAATGCCACCAATATTCGCCTGCGACCAATTGTAGCGTGCGATGAATCGTCATCTCGTGCAGTTTTGATGGTCTTGCGTTTTACTTGAAATAGCCAGTGTTTTGCTTCTGACTACCAGATTTTTTTTTTACCGCAGGGTTGATCTCGTCGGTTTAGCACCACCTGACCACCAAACACCTCCCACATCGTTTCTTTTTCCAATTTCCCCCTCTATATACGCTAGCGAGTAGCGTAGTGTATTAGTTCGAACTTTCTTTTTTTTCTAACCGAACTCGCAAATAAAAGTGTTCCTTAAAAGTGTGGCACTTATTTGGTGGCACTTTTGCTATAATCGCGATCTGTAGCATTGAAAATTTCATAGTATCTGTTCTCTGCTTTATTTGTGACTATTGATTGTTATTTATTAATCGTCTTTGGCTGAGTCGGTAGTGCGTGATTATCATAATCTCTAGTTCGCCGATCGAATCCGTGGAGTAGCCGAATTTCTTATTTCTTTGAGGCTTTTTTCTACTTTTTATTGGGCTTCGTAAAGCTGCTTCTTGCTATTGTGTGCAAAGCGAAACTTAGCCTCTTTGTTTAAATATTTTACTCTTGATTTTTGATTTGCTAACTCCATTTTTTTAAAGTTTTTTGTCGTTCTTACTGTTTTTTTGCAGTTTTTACCGTTTTTTTTCAATTAATAGGTTTAATCGGGTTGCTAGGTTTTGGCTTAATGATTTTCCATCATTTTGTCTAATCCACTCACATAAAATTAGTTTTTATAGCAATGATATGTTTGGTATGCTTTATTGGTGGCTTTTGTATACATAATTTAAGCGCACGCCGCGGAGATAGGAGAACGGTAGAATCGCAATATCTGGTTAGGCAGTTCGTTTCCAGCAATTAGCATTTTTTTGAAAGCTTTTTTGAATTTTCTGTCCTTAATTCTTTTTTTTAAATGTTTTTCGGGCCACTTTTTTTGCAAGTTTTTGACTCCTTTAAAAACCTTGTTTTACATTTTTTTTATTTACAAGCATCTGTTGTAGTTTGCTTTTTCTCTCCAGGTACAGTTGATTTACTAAATCGAGGAGAGACCTTCAAGTCTGTGATAGACACCATCAAACTAGTCGGCCCAGGAAATAACATGAGCAAGCCCAGGAAAGGCAGTGATCATGGTGACCATCCACCTATTACCCCAACACGAAGTGCCTCGCCCGCCCAGGTAAGATCAAGTTGAGAAAATGACAGTCTTTACGAGTTTTCGATGGTGTAGAAATTGAAACATTCAATAACAACTTTTATGGTGTTTGGTGTGATTCATAGAATAAATTTTTGTTTTGGAAAAAACTAGAACATTTTTCTGAATGGGTAGCTGAACCAATTCTTCAACAGTCTGTAGTCTGCCCCTAATCGCATTAAACATGATAAATAAAGTATCCTACTTTTTTAACACTTCATTTTTACGCCACCTCTTTTTGACTCGTTTTAATCACAAAGGATACTCCATGATAGTATGATTCGTGCTGTTTTGAAGACGTGAAAGCTATTTTTTTAGGTAGGAGGTGGTGAAGCGTGGAAGCTCTACGACTTCATAGTGCGAACTTTCCTCGGTTCTGTGTCGCCCGATCTGCTCTACCTACAGACCACTATCAAGTACAAAGTGGGCTCTGAGCTATTCGCCGCGTCGGGAAAACAAGTATATAATTGCAAATAATATTTTATTTTTTGTTGGCGGAAACATAATGGCAGCTTTTGCCATTCGAATAAGTCTAAATCATAATATGTCTGAATAAATGCTTTAGCAGAAACTTTTCCAATACTGACAGAAATTGATCAAATACTTGGTTTTCTTATTTTGTTGATAGTAAATAGGCCTGAAACCCGAAGTTTCGGGATTTTTGCATTTCGTTTTTCCTGTCTAGTTAATGGATATTTTCATGAAATAATCAATATCTCATTATTTTCTTCAGGAATTGGACCCTGGATTTACAGTAGCCATGCCCTGGCACGCCCTTAAGTCTTCAGGCGGTGGATCAGCCGCGGATGGAGACGATGAAGACGCAGTGTTGACTATGTCGGAGTCTGTGAAGCCAGGCCAGAAGGTGAAGGTACAGGAAGTGTCTCTGGGAGAACACCAGACTGGACCCCCTGACTACCTTACAGAGAGTGATATAATTACCTTGATGGAAAAACATGCTATTGGTAGGTCCATTCAAGGCTCATCGCCTTTTTCCCAATTTTTTCATATTCCTACGCAAATAAAAGTGCTTTTTGGTGGCACTTTTGAATCGGTAGGGTGCTGTAGCAGTATACTATCATATGTGCTTTGACATTTGATTAGTAAAAAGTTAACACAGCTGATGCATTTTTATTCATCAAATGAACAGAAAAAAGTTATTTGTTTTAGACAGCAGTACAATGATGCGAAGACAAGGAATATGAATTGATGGGCTCAAATCGGTTTTTAAGAAGCTGATGACTTTAAATTAATGTTTATGCCGCGAAAAAATCACAACCTAAAGAATTGAAAGAGTTAATTGGTCCGGCGGCAAAAAATAGTTGAATCTGTTATAAAGATACATGCATTGAAAAGTTTTTCGGCGCTTATGCCAGAAGGTTGGAAAAAATTTAAAAAGTTTATTCTTGGATCAGATGCATGGATCGGAGCAATCATTTCCAAAACTTTTTTTTGGAAAAATTATCATCCGAAATATTTTTCGGAAAATTTTTTGCTGGAAAATTTCCAAAAGATTTTTGCTGGAAAAATTCTCTACGCTCATTTATCATCCGTGTGAACTTTCTCGTACATATTTAGCCGGTTTGCTCACCTACCTAGCATTTTTTTCTTGTTAACAAAGTTATGTATGCCTTTATGGCTAAATGCGTGGTTTTTTTGTTATAAAGAACAAAATTTCTCTAAATTATAACACATGGGAGCTTACGAGCATTATGTCATACTGCGATTTTTTCTTCAAATCCAGGTCACTAAAAAATGCTCTTGCTGCATAGCATTATGCAGTTCAATAGCTTGTGTTTTGGCTTTATGATTGGCTGTTGTTTCATTTCTGTGAGCGTTCTTGGCATAGTTGCAAAGGGCAGCCGAGTTGGATGCTCAATGCCCGTGGTTTGATTCCGGTAGAGGGTACTCTTTCTGAATGCGGAAATTCTTTTGTTTCTGAAAGCTTATTTCTCCCCTAATTTTTTTTTGTTATTTTGAAGCCCCCGTTTGTCGTTTTTTTTGTTTTTGTAAAATTCCTGGTTGATAGAAACAAATATCATAAAAGTGTATGGGATCGGGTGTTTTTTGAAACATTTTGAAAGATTTTTCACCTTTTTAATTTTTCTCAAAAACCACCCTGCTGATTTGAAACACAGATGAACCAAAAGAAAATCAGCTCCTCTGTGTGCCTTTTCTCTCTTTTCAACTTACTCCACTCCGTACGGCCTTGGGAAGAAGGTTCAATTCCAAAGAACTTCTGACTTTTTTGTAGCTTTTGTCCGTTTTCTCTGAAACGCCATTGCTAATTTTGAGATTAAAGGTAGGCTCCTATTTACCCTGCATAAGCGTCTATTCCGTTATTCTATTAAGTCAACCGCCATGGACTTGAGAATAAAGTCTAATTTTTGACAGTTTGACCGTTTTCCGGCCTTATATCTGTTTTACGAAAACGACCTGGCCAATTGTGAGATTAAGGGTTCAATCAAATCAACGGGTTTTGGGGATCATTTGTCCGTGTTGTTCTCAGAATTGGTTCGGTCGTTTCGTGCCCAAAATCCCTTGGAGCTGAATCTTCCCACGGTTGTAGGAAGTCGTTAAGGTAAAGATAGACTAGCGAAAAAATGCAGGAACACAGAGGAGAATTTGATTTTTAATTTTTTTGATACGCTCCTGAAAATGTTTTCTTAAAACCCAGTGCCGATTTCCATCAAAGTGTGATACTTATGGAAAAATCAGATTCTCATGTGTGCCTGCTTAATCAGCTATGATCTCTTTACTGTGCCCCAGTCAGTCGCTACGGCCGTGGGAAGGTCCACTTCTAAGGTACCGATGGTCCCTTTTTGGCTTATCCATTTTCGTTGAAACGACACTGTCAATTCTGAGATTAATTTTCAATTGAAACAACAGGTTGTAGAGGCCTCTTTTAGATAATCAGCGTCTCCCTAATTTTGGTAGGTATTGTTCGATATGGTTTTATGAAAACAACAAAAACAACATTCAAGTGTAAATCTTCTGGCAGTCACTTTCTTGGGTTGTTATGAGTTGAACTGAACAACTGTACTTCTTTTGGAAATGTGTCTCATTTTTCTGCTACTTTAGGCACTGATGCAAGTATCCCTGTGCATATCAAGAACATCTGCGATAGGAATTACGTCACAGTGTCTACAGCGGGAGGAGGATCCAGGAAACTTGTGCCCACCAATTTGGGAATAGTACTCGTGCACGGATACCAAAAGGTAAGGGATGCTACTAAAGTGATGCTAATTAGATAAGAGGGGGAGGGGGTAGATAATTTAAGATTGAAAATTTTATTTTAACTGAAGTTCAACCAAAAATGAATGTTCAGTCGGTAAAATCTGCGAAAAAGCACTTCTGAGTCTTAAATGAAGCTCTCAACTTTGATTCTCTTAGATTTAAATTGAATACTCCGACGAGTACTTCAAATATCCAGCAGAAGACAATGTTGAAATACTACTTTATTTGCAAATCGTACCTTCTGATCTTGTACTTCAATTTCATTCAACCTGCTCTGTTTTTCTAGATCGACTATGAGCTTGTGTCCCCCCGAATGCGAGGTGCGATGGAGGGGGAGCTGAACCGAATAGCGAGTGGGGAGAGTGATTTTAAAGGGGTAGTGGAACATTTTGTGGAGATATACAGACGGAAGTTCATGTTTTTCACCTCCATGATACAGAACCTGGACCAGTTGTTTGAGGCGAACTTCACCACTTTAGCCCAAACCGGAAGACCACACACGAGGTAAATAATAGAAATAAAATAATTTTTATATTAATTTTAATAAATTAGGCCTTAACCCGTATTATTGGGGCTTCGGTTTCTTTTATTACAAAAATAATCGTCAAAGTTAAGTTTTTTTGGACTTTTTTAACTTGACAGTTTTTGCTTAGGGAATGACTTATGATTTTGAATCTTCCTTTTTGCCTTATAAAAAACAGTTTAAAACTATGCTATCTGATCTCCGCATGTGTTGAAACTTATGTATCGTCTCAAAGTGTCGAAAAAATGATTTTGTTTGAAGATAACAAATGTCATTAGTTTTATTTCGATCACTTCACCTATAGTTTTTAGCGAAAATTTGCTTAGCTAGAATTCATAGAAAGAACCATTATACGGAGTTAAGTGTGATATGCTATAAAAGCTCTCTCAGCTAGATACCTATATTGGAAACTCGCTTGGGTTTCTTGTTTTGTTTAATTTTGACAGTTCTCTCTCTGTGTTTAGATGTGGTAAGTGCAACCGGTACCTGAAGTTGATAGAGTCCCGCCCCACCCGACTGCATTGTGGTACATGTAGAGACACCTACAACATCCCTCAGAATGGGGCAGTGCGCATACACAAGGACTACAGGTCACTATTACTCCAGTCTGCGAACTGTCCCAACCCCAAGCTGGCTCCTTTATCTATTTTTACTACATTACAGAGCGAAGTTTAATACTGCGAAGCACCTTTTTTCCAACCTAAGTCGCAATTTAAAAAAGTGCTCATTTGGTGACTTTAGTAAGGTATGGAGGTAAGGTATATTTCCAACCATTGGCAATTTAACAACATCTGTAGCTGCTTAATTTGTGGCTAGTGTCTGGCTACTTTCGAGCGATTGTTTCGCAGAGGCGAGGACGTGAAACTACTTATCTAAATGTCGCAGATTTAACTCGGGAACATTGAAATAAATTAATTTTTAGTTTGTCGGTATTTTTGCTGCACAGTAGGCAATTTAATAGCAGCTAGCTGCTTTATTGAAAGATTGTTAGTAGTTTGTGGAGCAGGCGCGAGGACGTGGGACGCATAATCTCCAGGTCGACTGTTCTATTCCGGCACTGCAACAATTTTTATTTTTCAAGGCGTATTTTTTCCTTTGTTTCAATATTTTTGCCTTTCTAGAGCTACTGTTTGCCGTTTTCTTGCTTCTTTATGGAAAGTGCAGCTTCGCCTCTGTGTAGGATCATTTAGCTTTTTATTTACACTGCAATTTAACGAGCCTTGTATGCCTTTATTCTTTTTTCCAATCCAAGTCGCAATTATTGGTGCCCCTTTTGACAGCATGTGATTTACGGCTTGTTGATAGCATGTGCTTTGATATTCCATTAGTAATAAATTAACACAGTTGATGCATTTTTAATTCATCAAAAGCGAAAAAAAAAAGCTTTTTGTTTCAAACAACAGTACACACATAAAAACTGGAAATCAGAATTTTTTCCCTCTCAATATCGCAATTTTTTATGAAATTCATAATTTATGCATAATTTGGCTTTATGTGTTCCAATTTTTCTACATCCAAAGTTAGTGTGGATGCCTTCAGTTTGTTATATTCCAAATTATTAAATGTAAAAGTGTGCCTATTTTTAGTTGGTGCGTTTTGTGGTGCATACCAGTTGCAATTTATTATCAATTGTAGCTGCTTAAATTTTGCTAGTGTTGGTAAATTGTCAAGAGCCCGTGGCGGAGATACAAGAACAGGGGACTTTAAATCTCCTGGTCGTAGGATCGAGTCCGCCACAGCAAAAGTTTTGATTTTCAAAGCTTATTTTTTTAAAAACTTTTCTTAACTTTTTTCTTTTTATAGAGCTGCTTTTTTTTGTCGTTTTTTGCTAGTGTTTGCGAAGTGCAGCTTCGCCTTGGTGTAAAAAACTGAAATATCCTCTGATTAGCTAATTACGAATTTACCAATATATAACCGCAAAGTTTCGATACCAAGTTTATCCTTCAACTGTTGGACACAATTTTGAATTTACTATCTAAAAAGAGTTGTTAAAGATAGAAAGCAGAATAAAAAAAAGGACCAATAAATGGAAATATCTAATTTAAGTCAAAATAAGTGTAAAATGCGATTTTTGATCAAAAACGTCCAACAATATTGACAAAGCATTTGATCCAAATTCAATGCCGCCAACATTTTCAAACTTGATGCCGTTATCCTCAATAAACTTTTCCTTCAAATATGAATCACGGTCCAAAAGGGACCTACCACCTCTTAATTATTTAAGCAGATTCGTAATGCTTTTTCTGGAATTAATCTGTTTTTGTCGTTTTAAAGATGTCAGTCCTATTTTTTAATGGTTTTATTTCCGTTGTAATATGTTTCAATTCATATTCGGAACGGAATACTTGCAGAAGTTAAGAGCATTCGGCCGCTGAAATTGTGGGGGAAATTTTTTCCCGGAGGTCGCGTCTATTTTTCCCGGAAAAATCAAAAATTTGATTTGCTCAAACTTGATTTTTCGCGGTTTGGTTTTTGATTTCTTTTTGAGTTCAATTCAATTTTGTTTGGTAAAAGCAAGGCAAGTTACACTTTTCCACAGTGAAAGTGCAATTGGTGCTAACAAACATGAATTGATTTTAGTTTCGAAGTTAAAATGGGATAAAAACTAAACAAAGTTTGTTTCCAACGGAATGAAAATATTACTAATCTGGTTATTTTTTGAAGTTAGTGCCAACAATGACAGATTCTTGACATTCAAAGAGCTTTAACATGATTAATTTTTTTTTGGAAATTCAATAGTTGATTTTTTTAATAAAACATAACGAGGCCAAACTGTGCACTAGATAGGCGCACAATTTTGTGTCTGTATGTTCCCGGATTCCAGAGACAAGTCTTTAAACATGGTAAAATTTTGTCGGCACGATCAAAGAAATTGAAAGAACAAAGGGAGCGTCCTTTTTGCGGAATCTGCTTACAATTCACAAAATACACAGTTTGGCCCCGTAATGAAGTTTTTCTCTTTTTTTTGGCTTTATTGGGCTCATTAGCACTTGATGTTCCGTTGGATATATTTTCTCATGTTGATTGCATCTTGTTGCAGGTGTCCCCTGGACAATTTTGAGCTGTGCTACTTCACCTCCAACTTGGCCCACTTCGCCTTCTGTCCCTTCTGCTACAATGAGCCTCCCTTCGAAGACATGCCCAACTCACAGACAGGCTGCAACAAGTCAGTACTCTACTTCGAATGTCACAGCTCCTAGAAGTAGAAATGCCAAACCAAAGAAAAAATTATTATCAACATCGACGTACTTTTTTCTTTTAATGTATAGCCAAACAGTGATTCTAAACAGTGCCGAGAAATTCATAGAGATTGGGTTTCACAATCAGAAGAAGATGACTTAGTTGTCTGAACGACTGCTAAAGTGGGTTTTGAAAAAAAAAACTGGACAAAACATTTCGTGGTTGCTATCTAAAGCTTGATATTTTTTATAGTAACATCCGAATTTGCTGCGTCGGACAGTGTAATCTTTATGAAAATATGTCTTGTTAGAGTGCCAAAAACAGTGTCTTCACAGCTGTCGCGGTATTTTCCGTATACCCCTTTTGATGTTCTAATGTGTTCTATTTAGGTGCACCCACCCCACCTGTGAACACGGGATGATAGCCAACCAGTGGAATGTGGCCTGCAGTGCCTGTGCATGCCCCCTAGTGCTGGACCCTGGACACACTGGACCCAAGTGGCGCTTCTGTTGCAGTGGAGGGTGTGGAGTGGTGGTCGCTGTGTGTGATGGAGCTGAGAGAGTGTCCATATCACAGGAGAAAGAGTGCGATGATTGTGGGGCTAGACTACTCACCGTCGCGTATAAAAGTGAGAGCCGGTCGAATTGAGGATATACATACAACTTCATTAGGATTTTGGAAATTAAGAAGCATCGAGCTATTTGTGAAAACTAGAAATTGGCCAACAATTATCAAAAATTTCGTTTTTCTAGTTCTGTTTCAAGTTGCTAAATTTGTGCAATTTCATTTGTTTCAACTTGAGATCAGATTATTTGCTCACGAGCTGTCTTTATGTTCGTCTTTATTTAGTGAATATTTTCTAATTTTTGTGTTCGATACTTTTTGCGTTTTGAACATGATTGTGCCGACGTTAATACGTTACCACACCCTTAATTTTATTTTCCAAGTTTATCAAAAAAAAAATTGGCACTGTTAGGTTCCGTTTTTCACTTGCGATCAACTTAGTGTATTATTACGAACCTTCGTTTTTTCTAACCTAAACTCGTTACACTTGCGGTCAGCTTAGTGTATTATTACGAGCCTTCATTTTTCTAACCTAAACTCGTTACACTTGCGGTCAGCTTAGTGTATTATTACGAGCCTTCATTTTTCTAACCTAAACTCGTTACACTTGCGGTCAGCTTAGTGTATTATTACGAGCCTTCATTTTTCTAACCTAAACTCGTTACACTTGCAGTCAGCTTAGTGTATTATTACGAGCCTTCATTTTTCTAACCTAAACTCGTTACACTTGCGGTCAGCTTAGTGTATTATTACGAGCCTTCATTTTTCTAACCTAAACTCGTTACACTTGCGGTCAGCTTAGTGTATTATTACGAGCCTTCATTTTTCTAACCTAAACTCGTTACACTTGCGGTCAGCTTAGTGTATTATTACGAGCCTTCATTTTTCTAACCTAAACTCGTTACACTTGCGGTCAGCTTAGTGTATTATTACGAGCCTTCATTTTTCTAACCTAAACTCGTTACACTTGCGGTCAGCTTAGTGTATTATTACGAGCCTTCATTTTTCTAACCTAAACTCGTTACACTTGCGGTCAGCTTAGTGTATTATTACGAGCCTTCATTTTTCTAACCTAAACTCGTTACACTTGCGGTCAGCTTAGTGTATTATTACGAGCCTTCATTTTTCTAACCTAAACTCGTTACACTTGCGGTCAGCTTAGTGTATTATTACGAGCCTTCATTTTTCTAACCTAAACTCGTTACACTTGCGGTCAGCTTAGTGTATTATTACGAGCCTTCATTTTTCTAACCTAAACTCGTTACACTTGCGGTCAGCTTAGTGTATTATTACGAGCCTTCATTTTTCTAACCTAAACTCGTTACACTTGCGGTCAGCTTAGTGTATTATTACGAGCCTTCATTTTTCTAACCTAAACTCGTTACACTTGCAGTCAGCTTAGTGTATTATTACGAGCCTTCATTTTTCTAACCTAAACTCGTTACACTTGCGGTCAGCTTAGTGTATTATTACGAGCCTTCATTTTTCTAACCTAAACTCGTTACACTTGCGGTCAGCTTAGTGTATTATTACGAGCCTTCATTTTTCTAACCTAAACTCGTTACACTTGCGGTCAGCTTAGTGTATTATTACGAGCCTTCATTTTTCTAACCTAAACTCGTTACACTTGCGGTCAGCTTAGTGTATTATTACGAGCCTTCATTTTTCTAACCTAAACTCGTTACACTTGCAGTCAGCTTAGTGTATTATTACGAGCCTTCATTTTTCTAACCTAAACTCGTTACACTTGCGGTCAGCTTAGTGTATTATTACGAGCCTTCATTTTTCTAACCTAAACTCGTTACACTTGCGGTCAGCTTAGTGTATTATTACGAGCCTTCATTTTTCTAACCTAAACCCGTTACTTTAGCGGTCAGCTTAGTGTATTTTTACGAGCCTTCATTTTTTTCTAACCTAACTCGCAAACAAAAGTGTTCACTTATTTGGAAACTTTACTATAATATTGGAAATTGCATAGCATCTGTTCTCTGCTCTATTTGCAGCAAGTGTTTAGTCCTATTAGGCCTAATAAGCGTCCGTGGGTAGTTGTAAGACTATATCTCTAGGTCGCAGGTTACCGAGTTTTTACTAATTCGAGGCTTATTTCTAATGTTTCTTATTGCACTTATTATAGCTGCTTTTTGACAAGCTGCGTTTTGTCAAAATTTTTGACTGATTCGCATTAATTTTTTCACTATTGGTGCAATTTTTCACAATTTTTAGGAGAGTGTGGTTTGGCGCACCCAAGAGAAACGTACTTTTTAAACCCTTTAAAAATTCTCTAAAAAAAGGACTTTTTTCTTGAAAAATTGTAATAACTTTTGTCTTTTTTCAGAAAATAAAACTCCATTTGAAGACAAGAAGCTAACTTTCACTGGCTGTGGATTGTGCAGCGAAATTTTGCGCAAGCTCATTCACATGCCCTCCAACGGCTTCAAGGCTAATGACCACAGAGGAGGCAGGGGAGGTCGCGGCGGGGGGAGGGGAAGAGGTCGGGGCTCCAGAGGAGGGAGAGGGGGTGTTGGTCCCCCCAGAGGAGGTGCCAGGGGTGGGGGCAATAGAGGCAGATGACATGGAGAATGTATTGAGAACTCACTCTGTTGATTGTTCACTCAGCAATAAATTGTGTTTTGAAACTGTATCAGATTAAGAATTAAAAGATATTAATTCCGCAGTTTTTGTTTTATAAATAAATCTGGTTTTTAGAGGCCCGTAAAATTTTTCTTTACAGAATTTAGTTTACATGAATCATCTCCTCAGTCCTTTTGTTGGACTCCAACAGATCTATTGACCAACGGACATATTTTGCATGTTTACTGTTTAAATTACCGTTTTTTTTTTTCGAATATCGTTTATTTTCTTGGTAGAGCTGAAAAAACTACTAATTTGGAAAAAATTTCTAAAACGTAATTTGCCAAAGAACATGGTCGGAACATTCTGTGCTTCTTACACAGTAACCGGTTAGCCTCGTCTTTTTTTAGTTTTTTTCCATTGAAAGTTTACTCAGCTGAAAAATTTTAGGCGTCAGGGGTACTTAAAAAAATTGGGCTACAAACTTTTTTTGCTTATTTTGGGCAGAAAAATATGATGTAGGCCTATTTATCGCTTAAAAAATGTTGTGCAATAGCTCGGATAAGGTGGTAAATTGTCCTTTTTGACATAAGTCTACTAAAATTATTTTCTTTCGAAACAAATTGTTATAAAAAACTTTGGTAGACAATTTTTATTCAACATTGTTACCCTTGCGATGGGCAAGGGTGAAACATTTTCTTTTTGTTGTGATTTCCTTCTCATTTTTTGTCGACTAGCTCGCCATGTTATATCAGTGATATATCGCAAGCTGTGTGAAACTCCAATTTTTTTTTTTGTTTTCGGATTCAATGACGATTTCTAATCAGCCTTTACTTGCATTAAATGTGTTTTGAGGGGCCATGCAGTGAGATAAAATCTAGAAGCGTCGCTAACGGAGTAAATTCTGTTAAGGAATATAACGGAAAAGGCCAATTTTTCTATCAAAAACTAATATTTGATCACTGAAATTTGATCGCTAGCAACTTCGCCTCTGTGTTTATAAATGTCATTTTTATTATTTGGTACGTTTTCTTATCGGCTGAATTTCTAAAGCATGGGTTTAAGTGTGAATAAAACAGTATTCACAATAATTAAAATTCTCTAACTTATAGTTTTAGCAAGTCTGATTTTGAATAGTTTTGTTTCATTTTTTTTTTCGATCAAACCGTTTTGGCTTATGATATCGGTTTTTACAAGTTAAGTTGCCTAGTTTTGAGGGCAAAAAATCTTAACATGCTTCTATTTGTTTCAGTTTGGATGGGTTGGTTAAATTTACTTTTCAGCTCAGTATCTGAGGTTCATCTACAGCTTTTGCCGGGAGGACCTCAAATCTGTTTTGTGTTTAGAAGAAAAAAAAAGCATTTTTTTTCCAGCGCAATGTGGTCTGCTCAAGAATTGTCGGCTTTTTTTTACTGAGTTTTGTTAGATGCTTATTTGACTTTCAATTGTCGTATTTCTCGGCATGTTTTTTGCAAAGAGTTTTTAGTCAAGAGAAAGTTTTTTTGATGGATCAACTTTTCTGTTATTTTTCAAAAAAATTTTTTACGGTTTTATCTCTATTTCTTTTTATTTATTTGTCATGCAATGTATTTGTTGTCTTCATTAAAATGTGACGGTTTGCTTCTGTTTGTAAAACTTCAAAAGGTGCAGCTAATTCGGTTCCAAAATTTCAATTTCGGGTTTATATACTGGATTTATTTTTTCTTTGTGTCGGTTCATATAGTACTGGTTTTCATTAGTTTCCCGATCGCAAGTGCTTAGAAGCTCTGACTTGCCTCTGTTCTTTCATTTTTATAAATCAATGGATTATAAGAGAAATTTAATCTAATGTGGTTGTCTGAAGGAAGTTCATTTTAAATGTTTCTATGCTCATTTGTCTTTGTCTTAATATCATGTCGTCTTTTTTACCGGGTACCATCTGATGCAGTAGCTGATTTAGGGATTGCTGCCCCTCTCAGAGATTCGAGCCCCCTGACTACCCAAAGGGTCCCTCTTTGCTACTGTTTCACGACCTCCATTTTGGCTGACTGAAACTAAAATTTTTTCTAAGGGTGCGGTCAAGGCATCTCTTTCTAGGTTCCTGGAGTCAAAAAGTATGCCTTCCTTGAATTCTTTACACATCCTGACAATGTCTCGATTTATTTTCGGCGATCAAATGTATTGGGTTGCATCCAACATTGCTTCCTGGCCAATGTGCGATCGATGTAGTCTTGTCAGGACTGCTCTTCGAAGACACGCTGGGATAGCAATGCGGTCGTGGATGATGATGCAGCCGTCTACTATGAACGCTGAGCTCCAAAACGTTTTTATATAGGGATCTATTCTCGTAAATTGCTCGTGGTCCTCACTAAGGTTGGCCTGTTTCATTAGTCGGTAAGTTGGGTCCTTTTCGACCAATTCCGACAGAATATCCGCATCAAGAAAACCTGTCACTCCTGAGTGCGACTTCTGTCTCTGCCACATTTTTTTCGGTCAGTTCGCGTACACTGCATTCACTTAGGCCGACCTTTTTCGTATGGCTCAGTTTTTGATTCCCCTTTTCAGTCTTAAGTTTGCCAAGATTTGGGCGTCTTTTTCCTTTGGGCGTGGGTTTCTTACCCTGTCTGGTATCTGCTCTTATCATCGATCTTGCTATCGCCTGTACAATCTTTTTCAGATATGTTGCTTAATGTTTCTCTCGATTCATTAGACAACGTATCTGAAAAAAGGATATACAGGTTAGAAATTGGTTGGATTGATCTGATAGGTTGTTATTTGATAGTAGTTGAAAGTAGCAGAGATTTGCCAGAAAGGATATGTTGGTTGGACGGGAATTCGATTGAAATCGTTCTGTCTTCTGATTGGCTGAGAGAAATTGCGGGAATAATTTGCGTATTTACATCCGTTGCGCATAATTGGTCGCCGTCTATCGGTTGTGCATAAACTAAATTGGTGGAATCTTATTAGCTGGAATTATGAGAAACTATATCTTTGCATTTTTACATCTGATTTAACGGGAATATTTGTAAATAATCGGTCGTCCTCTCCTGTTTGTGCATAAATTAATTTTGGTCTTTCTGATTAGATAGATTTTTGGTTATTATTCCCCGTTGGCTTTTGTGCCAGATAAACTTTTTCTTTAATTGATGATGTTAAGGACGGTCGGAACTATTCTGTATATAATTTTAAGTTTGGTAAGAACCGTTGAAGATGGTTAAGAACACCCACATAAGATCTTAACTACTTGAGGTTTTTTTAGGACGTGAGTTCTAGTTTTGCTTGATTTTTTGAATGTTTTAGTCTATAACCATTTATCAATGTAAGTACCGATCCAAGAAATTTTTTTGACCGAAAATTCGCATTTGGATAGCTTTAAAGCGAAGCCCTCTTTATTTAAGTTTATGAATGCTTCATCTACTTTTTTACTGTGGTCGTATAGCAACCCTTTGGTAACAAATAAAATAACATCCAAAAATATCATCTAAAAACGTAATTAAAATTGACTTGATTTATTCATAAAATCTTGCCGATGTATGACGGAAGGGCACGTTTTAATTGACCCTTTTTTGTTATTGACCCCAGGGATGCTGCTTAGCGTATTATCCATTGCTTTCAGAAAATCTTTGGGCATATCAGAAAGTCCATAATAGCTGGTTTTAAATCGGTATGTGCCCGTAGCGTCTGCGCTTAATATGTTCACATTGCAATGGTTGCTGACTGATTCGCTTAGTTGAAGCTGGCTAAATGCATTTTTAAGATCTAATGAGGTGACAATACCTCTTTGGTATGTTAGAAATGATTATTTGGGCAACTACGTCAAGTTGTTCTATTGGATTCGGCATTTGGCGTTGGGTTTAAAAATTTATAGCGTTCGTGGGGTTGGCGTCATTTGCTATTTTTTGAACCATCTTTCTTTGCCGTGATAACAACGGGTGCTACAAAATATTCGCTTGTTCATTTATTTAGCTTGATGATATGGTTTTCTTTGATACGACGTTTCATATCCTCTCCTATTTTTTGTTGAATATGTAGCAGTACCCTCTGATCCTTCTCCTGAATTGTATTTAGTGGTTGTTTAAAGACTGTATGTACCCGGTGATTCTTCGTTCTTCTTAATCTAGTGAACATTTCTTTGTGTTTAATTACATTGAACTTTTTCTCAATAAGTTGAGATATCCCACGATTTTTTTTCTTCTATTTCTAAATTTTGGTGTGGAAACTTGTTCCTTCTCTCAAAAACTACCTAGCCAAACCTGAGGATAAGAGTTTGAATAAAAGAACACATAGTGAGTTTTTGCTCTACAGTCTGTTTTTGCTCTACGGTCTATTTTCGAAACGTACCCGGCCAAATCTGAGAAATAAGTTTTTAAAGAAAACTGGAAGTAGGAGTTTTCTCACTGCGTTGTGGAAAATTAATTTTCTTTTATTTAACTTTTTACCTTTCAGAGCTACGTTTTGCCTTTTTCTCTTTGTTTGCGAATTGCAGCTTCGCCTCTGCAAAATTTTATAGCTTGAGCATTTTTGATAAGTACCGTATCGTTATCGGCTCAATGAGGATCGACCCACAATTTTTTGCCTTAGTTGCCGTTTGATCCTTGACTCTTGATGGGCTGTTTATGAACATCATATCATCCGAGAGAGAGGTATGAAACTTTTGTAAGTTGTTTTTTTTTTCGATTTCGTCAAGTAGATTTTCAGCTTAATTTTGCAATGCAAATTTATAAGCTTTTTTTTCATGGCAATTGTTGTGATTTGCTTAACTATGGTAACTATAACTTTGGACGAAGCCTTCTGTGGTAGTGTAACAATGAGATGTAGTTTTCACTTGTTTTTTTTTTTGCTGTAAGAAATAAAGGTTTTGATTTCTTTTGCAATTTCTTATGGTTTTTTTAATAATCGCAACTTTTTTGGGTTAACAACTTGCTTAACAGATCCACTTGAATCATTTTGTCTCCGGGTTCAAAATGATTTCAAATTCAGGGCGTCTCCAGCACATTTAATTTGAAGGCGACGAATTTGCCTGAAACAGCAAAGGTCCTGCGTTTGAATCTGACCAGGGCCTCAGAAAAAATTGTTGGCATTTTATTTGTCTGCTTATACTTTGTCAGCTTAGTTGCCACATCTGAGAATTTTCTGTTGCATGCAGTTTTTTTTGTTGCTTTTTATGGTTTCATTTAGTTCCG